GTGAATAGGTTAATTGTTTCAAATATAAATAGTTGTCTACGTTGAATGAAGGGCAGGTTTTTTCCGTTGTGTAAATGTTAAGTGTTGTAACTTGCCATGGTTGACGTTTAATTTCCATTCCTTGTACTGATTATGTATGTTTTTCATTCATTATGTATGTTGATTGTTTTGTAACGCCATAGAGACCTGTATCTCAATACTGTTTCTCGTAATAATAGCAAGGTCGCCGGCATAAGTTCTAGTAGATTTTGTGTATTGCGTACTGTAGTGGACGCAAGATAGGACCTTGAAGGCCACCTGCAGAAATTGGTTATTTATGAAGTCACCGTGCTTTGTGGAGTAAACTGTTTCATCTGATAATATGATAAAGCACACCTTATTGAACTTAAATATAAAATACCTCTTGAATGTTTCCTAAAAAAAGGTTTATATAAAGGTTACTTAAAAAGGTTACTTGTTATACTGAAAAAAATGCGAAGATTTTATTCCGGTTAAAGGAGTATCAAAGTCAATTTTTCATGCATGCATCCATTTCAACACCGCTTCACACAATTCAATCAAATTTTAAGGATCTAATAGTTTATGATCTCCTCCAAAACTAAAATACATTTTGATGATGTAATCTTGCGGTTATTGTTAATAATTAATACCGCACATTTACTACTACTGATTCACTATTTTTATTTTTTATTTCACTCTACAATTCTTTTAATAATCACTTTCACCTAGTGATTTTCACGTAAGAATCCTATTCATAAGAACAACGACAAGATTAAATGAATTGAAGATGAAAATTGCACCATATATTATGGTTTCATTCATAATACATGGTATAATTTTTATTACTTATGGTATTTTATATTCAAAACCAAAGCATGAAATAGTATAATGTATTTTCTCTGTTTCTTTATTTAATTATTTTATATTCTTATTTGTGTAATCCAGATATTTCTTTGATCTGTAATACATTTTATATCCCTATCTACATCCATTCCTATAATTCTCCTCGAAGATTGAAGCGGCAGTGGCCCTGATACCTTCTGTAAATATGCATATATTGAAGTTCCGGCAATGGCCTAATTCTCCATTCATTCCATGTGCGTCTGTGGTTATAGCGCCTCTGCTCAGCCTTTATTGGGCATTAATACCAATACCAGAGACGCAGCTAAGAGGGAGTAGCTGATAACTCCCAGAGATCAGCTTTTCCTTCAATATGTGCTGTTCTCAGAAATGAATGTATGTAAATATTGAATAAAAGTATGTCTTTATTTAAGTTGTTATTTTTATTATTTTACGTTTCTTTTTGTTTATATATATTTTTTGTAATAATAATTTGGTGTAGTTTTATTTAATTGATTTTTGTTGTAAATGAGCTACTCTATCTTCAATACTAATGCCATTTATTATGAAAAAATGTAACATTACTCTGTATATGTAATGTTACTCAAAATAAATAAATAAAGTTGTTACTATATAATAAAAACATTTCTTATTGCCTGCACAAAACCGAAGGTAGTGAAGCTTCTATTCATGCGAGAGGTTTAATATTTTTTTATTATTACTGTACAAATGTCACTCCGCTTCGTCAAGTGGACCAAAATGTCATGATTTAAATGGGATTCCTACTATTGACACCGTGTTCGCTGTATTATCACATTTTATTTAGATTGCAATTTACGACTTAAGCAAACTCCCGAATGGTCCTTTTCGGTTAAAATCAGGACTTATTAGCTTTAATGACATCTTCGCTCTACAAAGGTAAACAAATCCCCAACGGGTTCTTTTCAGTTGAGTCCAGGGACGCTTCAGTCACTTGAGTCTACCAGACGCTTCAGTCACTTGAGTCTACTTTCGATAAAACTCGGTCATTCTCGGGATTCCATTCATGTTGTGATCGTGAGATCTTGTGCCACCGATGAAAGGAGAGGGGCATCAGTATACTACTACCATTTTATATTCTCTGGTGTGGATATCTTTTTAAAATTAGGTATCTTTTTTTGTTTTTTATTTATTGAGATATATAATATTCTGTCTCGTGGACAATAATTATAGTGATAAATAAACTCATTCACAACATATATACAGAAAACATAAAATTAACAAAAGTAAAATAATAATTAAATAATAATAAAAAAACTATGTACAATAAAAAAATAAAATAACCTAAAGATAAATAAATTAAAAACACAGTCATACTTATATACAATCAGGCTGGGAACCCAAAGCCAGGCTTCTCCCTCCAACTATAGAAGGAAAAGCAGGACTCTAAGAGATCCATGCGCTACTCTCTCAACCGCGTCACTGGTGCTAAAGTCAATGGAGTTTAAACGAGAGCGTTTTAGCCACAGACACTCATTGCCAGAACTACAAGATATATACTATAAAAGACCTCTGGGCCACTGCCGCTTCAACCTTCGAGGAGTGTTGTAGGGATGGGTGGAACTAGATAGGGATTGGGCTAGGGGATTTGGATGATTGATAAGGTTCTGATAGAATTTGGAAACATTTTCAGGGATAAAGTCAAGGAAAAATTGGATATTAAGGTCATGATGTAGTGTTTTGTTGGTTACATAGAACTATTTTTCAGAGGACTTGGATTAATCGAAAGGATTGGATACGTTTGATGTTAGAAAATTTTGCTGTTCCCCAAAGTTCAAGTCCATAGGTCCAAATAGGTTTCAGGATTGTCTTGTAGATCAGTAAAAATTAGGTATCTATACATGAAATATTAATCCAATTCAAGGCCTCCTTAATTCAAAGGCGCAGTTAGCAGGCAGCAGAGTTGGGCATTTACTCGAGTAAATGTCGAGCAGTGACGTCACGAGTGATCACTCTTGGAAGCTTAGCCATGAGTAATTTTGAAAATTACTCGTGAAATATTTTTCCTTCATGAGTAAATCACTCGTGAAAAATGTTATCTCCATGAGTAAATTACTCATGAAAAATTTTAACGCCATGAGTAATTTTGAAAAAAAAATGTTTTTATTTTATTTAACCTAATTTTTTTTTTCACCTTTCCGATTTATTCAATATCGGGGTCGACATATATGTTTCGGGGGGCGCTTTTTATGAAAATGATATCCAATTTGAGATTGGGCCCCCCCGCCCCCGTTTTTTTTTAACTTTTGGGATTAAATCGATATCAGGGTCGACTTATAGGTTTTGGGGGGCGCTTTTTATGAAAATGATATCCAATTTGAGATTGGGCCCCCCGTCCCCGTTTTTTTTTAACTTTTGGGATTAAATCGATATCAGGATCGACTTATAGGTTTCGGGGGGCGCTTTTTATGAAAATGATATCCAATTTGAGATTGGGCCCCCCCGCCCCCGTTTTTTTTTAACTTTTGGGATTAAATCGATATCAGGGTCGACTTATAGGTTTTGGGGGGCGCTTTTTATGAAAATGATATCCAATTTGAGATTGGGCCCCCCCGGCCCCGTTTTTTTTAACTTTTGGGATTAAATCGATATCAGGGTCGACTTATAGGTTTTGGGGGGCGCTTTTTATGAAAATGATATCCAATTTGAGATTGGGCCCCCCCGCCCCCGTTTTTTTTAACTTTTGGGATTAAATCGATATCAGGGTCGACTTATAGGTTTTGGGGGGCGCTTTTTATGAAAATGATATCCAATTTGAGATTGGGCCCCCCCGCCCCGTTTTTTTTTAACTTTTGGGATTAAATCGATATCAGGGTCGACTTATAGGTTTTGGGGGGCGCTTTTTATGAAAATGATATCCAATTTGAGATTGGGCCCCCCCGCCCCCGTTTTTTTTAACTTTTGGGATTAAATCGATATCAGGGTCGACTTATAGGTTTTGGGGGGCGCTTTTTATGAAAATGATATCCAATTTGAGATTGGGCCCCCCCGCCCCCGTTTTTTTTAACTTTTGGGATTAAATCGATATCAGGGTCGACTTATAGGTTTTGGGGGGCGCTTTTTATGAAAATGATATCCAATTTGAGATTGGGCCCCCCCGCCCCCGTTTTTTTTAACTTTTGGGATTAAATCGATATCAGGGTCGACTTATAGGTTTTGGGGGGCGCTTTTTATGAAAATGATATCCAATTTGAGATTGGGCCCCCCGGCCCCGTTTTTTTTAACTTTTGGGATTAAATCGATATCAGGGTCGACTTATAGGTTTTGGGGGGCGCTTTTTATGAAAATGATATCCAATTTGAGATTGGCCCCCCCGCCCCCGATTTTTTTTAACTTTTGGGATTAAATCGATATCAGGGTCGACTTATAGGTTTTGGGGGGCGCTTTTTATGAAAATGATATCCAATTTGAGATTGGCCCCCCGGCCTCGACTTTTTTAACTTTTGGGATTAAATCGATATCAGGGTCGAATCTTATGTTTTGGGGGGCGCTTTATATGAAAATGATTTCGATTTGAGATTGAAGCGCCCCCCAAAACATAAGAGTCGACCCTGATATCGATTTAATCCCAAAAGTTAAAAAAAAACGGGGCGGGGGGTCCAATCTCAAATTGGATATCATTTTCATAAAAAGCGCCCCCCAAAACCTATAAGTCGACCCTGATATCGATTTAATCCCAAAAGTTAAAAAAAAACGGGGGCGGGGGGGCCCAATCTTAAATTGGATATCATTTTCATAAAAAGCGCCCCCCGAAACATATATGTCGACCCCGATATTGAATAAATCGGAAAGGTGAAAAAAAAAATTAGGTTAAATAAAATAAAAACCTTTTTTTTTCAAAATTACTCATGGCGTTAAAATTTTTCATGAGTAATTTACTCATGGAGATAACATTTTTCACGAGTGATTTACTCATGAAGGAAAAATATTTCACGAGTAATTTTCAAAATTACTCATGGCTAAGCTTCCAAGAGTGATCACTCGTGACGTCACTGCTCGACATTTACTCGAGTAAATGCCCAACACTGGCAGGCAGTAACCATAGACGCTCTTGTATGATATCTTAGGATTGTTATAACATTAACATTAGATTTTGATAATAAATTGATAATGCTACTCACTCTTCAGCCTCCTCCCCACTGGATCGCAGGGCCCCTCCCCCAGGGCGCACTTGAGCTGCCTGGTGAGGTACCTCCTGTCCTTGAGGGCCGTTTCCAGCGCCTCATCGGAGACTGCAGGCCTTGACTCAGCGCAGAGGATCCCGGTCAACACAACCCCGATAACAACCTGCAACATCAAACAATACCAAAAGATTTATTTATTTGTTTCTTCGTATTAAAACAAAGGATGATTGATATTTCAATTTTGAGTGGTTCTGGTTTTGGTAAATAAAATTCACGCTTTATGGGCAAGCGTGAATTTTATTTATTTTATAAGCACTTTATGGCAAAAAAGGCGTTTGCTATCAAAACCGGCACATTCCAGTTTTGTAAATTTGACAGAAGAGACAAAAAAACTTCTCACGTCCACAGTTCTAAAGCTATAAATTTTGTGTTTTTAATTTTAATTGTAGGTATAACCGCCTAGATTTGAGCTATATCCCTTCGTCGGGTTATGAAGGACCCTCTAAACTTTCAAAATATGCAAAAAAAAGAATTTCAAAAAAATATGGAATGAGCTGGTTTTGATAGCAAACGCTTCATACATCTTTTTTTTTTTTTTTTCTTACTTGGTTATTTAAATTTATTTTCCTCTCTTATGTACATATTGTGTGAATGAATACTATAGCCCTAGTATCAATGCCCTTCAGTGTGGCAGACTGTATTAATACTCAATAAAAAATAAAATAAAAAAATAATTTTTTTAAAGGATATATCTTTCGAAATATTTTGTCTATGGTTTCGAATAACAAATTATTTCTAATATCTCTTTTTTCTTTCAATCCATGACTTTTTTTATATATAATTTATCCGATTTTATTCTTATTAACTAAAACTATTATTGCAAATAATTCAGTGAAAAATAGATTACGCTATAACAAAAAAAAAAGAATAAAACAAAGACAGATTTTATGATTATTCTTTTTTAAAAATTTGAATAGTTGAATAAATAAAAAAAATCAATCAAAGTTTTAAAAATTCCGCAGCCAAATATTGTATTACCCAGAGAATTGTGAAAACATACGTTTTAAGGAGGATATCGATGTCTATTTGCCAGCCAGATACGACAGCTTCAAACTTATTTTAATATGAGAAAATAATCTTAAATACTTCACATACATTATCTCTATTGTGCAAATGTCAGAAAACGGAAAAGTCTAAACAAAATCAGGACATTATGAACACGTGGTTGTCTGCATTAAAGGAAACCTTCTATTGACCTCATCGGATGAGGTCAGTCTTTGTGACAATAGACATTTTTGAAAGCTATTACAATCGAAATTATCAAATTCCAGGCCACGGTCATACAAAGACAGGATGTCGGAATTCCTTCAAAGCGATGGTCTAATGTAGGAGAAGCATAGTTTAGTAGTGACTTGTTAAATAAATTTTTAGTAAAAAAAAAAGAAAATTTGATTAGCGGAAACATTGCACTTGAGATATTTGTATATAATATAATAGTCGTTTACACAATATAATAGTTGTTTTGTTTTTTTCGGCCCAAGACTTCCACTGAAGTCCTATACTGCTTGGAAAAATTGTTGTTCTTGTTGATGAAGATAATTGTTGAGAAATTTGAGAAAGAAAAACATCGCATCCTTACCGAAAATAAAAGGTTAAAAAACAGATTCGTACATTTTTATTTTATATCATGTTACCTCTTTGCTGAAATAATTTGGAAAAAATTATCATTATCCCCTGAAGAAAACATCTAATTGCTCAAGAATGCAAATGATGTCCCTTAAAGTTTCCTCAAAAAAGAGTACGCTATCATTTCCGGGCGTACTTTTGTAAAACGAACAGTACCAGAAAATAAAAACGTAAGGTTTATTAGAGCTTTTTTAATTTGATGGGAGAGGAGAGAGGAAGGATACAGGATACAGCTAGTAGATAAAAATTGTATTGTTATTTAAGGAGAAGGACAAGAGCTGTTCCATATTGCATAAAGGCGGTGCTAACAAGGCTGGGTCCCTTTGAATATACGAGCGGCTGTGGTTTGGTAAAAAAGCTCCAGTTTTCTGCTTCTTCCAATATTTACTGCCTTCTCAGGCACACTTCGTTTTATAGCAGCAGCCCTGTCATCGCCCACTACCAACATTTTTTTTTCTTCTTTATTTTATGTGTTTAATTTTCTTTTTCCTTTTTTTTTCGTAAAAAATATATGTTCTGACTAGGGAAGAGATAAAGCCTACTGCTAGCGATATCTGTGTTCTGCCTTTATTGTACTTTGAATCTTTCATGGATACATTAAAGGAAAAAATATGACCCTCCCACTTCAAAACTAATTCCTCCAGAAAAAAAATATATATATTGGTAACATTTTTGTTGACACCGTATATTAATGATACGATCACATATTGTAATTAATTTTATTATTTTATTTAATAATATTGAGTTTCACTAAATCACTATTTCTAACGTTTGTTTATATAGAATCAACAGTCCTGGTATTAGAAATTACACCAACCAGTAAAAATGTTATTAAATTTTATTTTATTTACCAGATTGCTACTGCAAGATCTCCGAATATTCCTTTGCCAGTTATGAAACAATATTCTTAAAACAATCGTACCATTAACAGGAAAAATTATTTCTTTATTTTTTTTCTCCTTCCAGTTTCTTTCTTCCTCTCCATGGCGGCTCAAAATTATTGTTGGTACCCTATTCTCGTTACTATTTCCCATGAAAATTCCTTTACTCCATTTAATATTACAATTATATTATTTTTTGACAATTTTTGATACAGGTCATAATGCTTTTGTCCAAGCATTAGTTGAAACTGAACTGAGAAATATTGTTAAATTTGTCTAGTAAACTTAATAAGTATAGAAAAACAAAAACATTCAATGAAACCCACCTTATTAAAATAAGAATCAAAATAAATAAGTGGTGCAATTTCTATGAACGAGATGTTTTCATCAAATGTTTTCTGTTATTTAACATTATTTATCAATGAACCATTGTGATCGAACAAAAAATTCAAAAACTAAACCTCCCCTCAAAATTTGAAGTTTCACGTTTCAGGATATTTAGAATTCGAAAAACTAATAATTTTTTTTTTGTTCGTCTGCCGTCCGCGCATTTTCTCCGCAACTATTAGACCGATTTTTTTTTTAAATTTGGATTTAAAATTAGAGGTCACACGGGAATGATCCTCCTTCATCGACATTTCTATCCGCTTTTTCCTTTCACGATGGAGACCGAAAAACCTGCCTTGCTATGGACTGTAACGCCTAAACGAATGTACCGATTTCAATGGAACTTCACTAAAGTCTTCTTTCCGATGCCCTTTAAATTTATCTGTATAACATACTTCAAGCTGGAAAAAATGTTACGAGGGATGATAAAATTAGATTCCGAATAACTCAAATAGTATACACTTTTTTGTTGGTTGTGATAAGATAGGTAAGGTAATTAAATCAAAGGTAATTAAATTTCCTAAAAAAGTTAAGAAATTCAAATCAAAACACTATTAATGAAGATATCGCGATTACCAATTGAGATCTCCTGATAATTTTCGTAATTAAAAAAGTTGTTGGTTAAGATAAAATAAGGCCATTTACGAAGTTCTTGAGAAGTGTTATAATTTGATAACAAAAAATTTTTGACTCTAAGAAATAGGCAAATACACCAATGTGACCAGTGAACCATATCTTATGATAATTGGTTCAATTTAAGTAAATAAAAATGTATCTCTCAATATTCTAACACGGTTTCCACTGTTTTATTGATTATAGTGAAAAATTGCATTTGTTAAGATCAAAAACTATTACTATTACAATATTTTACTACAATATATTAAAGTTATTATTACAATATAAAATAACATTATACTCTGCAACCAGTAAGTTTTAATGCGGTTGCTATTTGTATGTATTTTAATTCACCCATAAATCCCAATTATTCTCCTCAAGTTATCGCTTTAATCCTCCCTAGCTAAGCTTTTTAATGAATTTGTTCCTTTGCACAATATTTCTTAAAAATCCTCTTAGGAAGTAAGAAGCTTATGAGGCGTCTTATGAAATTATGCATCAAAGCACATAAAAAGATAACCAAAAATTTATCATTATATTTTTTGTTCTTTTAATTTTATCTTTTATATTGTTTTTCTAAAAATGACCACGACGCAATCCTTTGAAATTGAAATTTCTTCTAACTGTTCATTTTAATATATTTATTCAACAATTAATAAACAAATTAAAATTAATAAAACTAAATGTATAGACATAAATTAATTTTAAACTGTATTTTATAATGCTGGCTAAGCAAGCCAATGAATGATTTTAAAGATATATGAAGGAAACACAATGTTTAACTTTAGAACATGGTTTGAACTAGCTAGATTGAAAACTAGTTCAACTAGTTTAGTAACCTACTAAAAGTACCCTAGGTGCATGCAATTTCCTCTTATTCTTTGAATATATTTTATTGCTCAGCTCTTATTATTTTATTGCTTCTTGATACTACCCATACATACCTCTTACACAAAACCGTACTATTTCTGTATGCACTCAGTTCTTGACTGGCCTCTAAATTAGCAGTATTAACAGCTACTGCTAGTTTAGAGGCCAGTCAAGAACTGAGTACATACAGAAATAGTACGGTTTTGTTTAAGAGGTATGTGTAGTATCAAGAAGCAATAAAATAATAAGAGCTGAGCAATAAAATATCTGGAAAGAGGAAGGGGAAACTCTATATTTGATAATTTTTTTTGTTTAATGTCTTTAAATAAGTCTTATTTATTGAATCGTTTTATTTATACAAATTATTTAATTTATTTTTTATTTTTATATACATATCTTTTATGTTCAATTACAACATTTAGAAACATTTTCTTTGCATATTGTTATATTTATATTGTTGTTATGTCCCGTTATTTTATTTCTACTTTCAGCCTTTTACTTCTCTTATTTATATAATTTTATATTTATCATTGTTTTTCTAGTTTTGGCTCGAACAATCTGCTAACTTAATAATTATTACTGAATATGAGTATCCTTCGTCCATCAAAATAAATAAATGTTTAAATACAAACACATATTACCCTTACTCTCCGACGCAATTCCTGTCCACCAGTACACTTTAATTCAATCCAGCTTCCTTACTCAGATACAGTCCGGTATCTTG